GAAAAGCACTAAAATCCCTCATGGTGATGACTGTTCTTGTGACTAGCAGTAGCTTCACAAGACTAGTAGAAACCTTTTGGAAAAATATGTGCTTGATTATATGTAGCCTCTCCTTCACCAAAATCACATACACATGTCCTTTCCCCCTATATCCTTGGAGCAGTCTCTCAGAGCTATCTGAGGTGCTGTCTTCTGGGCTGCAGTCCTCATTTTGCCCCAAGTAAAACTTAAATTGCAGCTCTCATGTTGTGCATTTTTTTAAGTTGACAGTTCTGGTAACCTACGAAGCGACAGAGTGGACTTCCTTTCTTCACCCGAACTCTACAAGTAACTGGAGCTTTTTAAATAGTTTCTTCTTAATTAGATTACAAACATTAAAAGCATGAATTTTTGATAATAATATAATCATATAACATTGGTGAATTTCTTAGCACCATTCAACTTTTCCTTGGGCTTGCTATTTTCTGACTGTGATTTTGTGTAGGTCACTTAAATTCTCTGAATCCTAGTTTCATCTTCTGTGTAGGATGATGACATTAATGTCAATTTTACAGTGAGAATTAAATGAGTTTGTGCATGTGAGAAGCGTCACTGTAACTTGAATATCTCTCTCATTCCATACAGCATCTAACTCAGTGCCAGGCACCTCAGAGTAGGTGTCATTTTAATAAATGTTTACAGAGGGAGTGGGTGAATGCCAAACAGAGAATATTTTTCTGAAGAAAGTCACCTTGGCTTTGCGGTAGGTGGGCGTCTGTCTGTGGAGGCGGAAGCCATAGGAGATCTCTGAGGACAGCAGGTCTCCCAAGGACACTCTGAATGGTAGCCTGGTAAAACTGACCATCGTGACCCAGGTAGGGGGCATTTCTATTCTGTGTCCCAGGCTATGCTATTTCACATAAAAAAAGGGAAGTCTCTGAGAACTCCAGAAGGAATGCACTCCTTTCTGAAGAGGAGCTGACACACAGGGGAACTAAACCTGGTCCTGTCAGTGCAGATCTTCCCAGGCATTCCATCCCCTCTGCTCAGCTGCCATTTATCTATCAATGCTGTCCACTGTCCAATAGAATTTTCGGCAGTGATAGAAAGATTCTCTCTATGTATGCTGTCTAACATAGTTGCTACCAACCACATGTGGCTATTGAACACTGGACATGTGGACAGTCTGACCAAATGATTTTTGCATTTTATTTAAAATTTAAATTGAACAGTTTAGTTCCATAGAAACATGCTGGTTGACTTTTCAGATTATCATTTAAAAAATAATTTTATTGATTTACATTATTTTTTGGCTGTGTTGGATCTTCTTTGTTTGCTTGGGCTCTTCTCTAGTTGCAGTGAGTGGGGGCTACTCTCTACTTGCCGTGTGTGGGCACCTCATCGCAATGGCTTCTGTTGCAGAGCACAGGCTCAAGAGCACGTGGGCTCAGTAGTTGTGGCTCCTGGGCTCTAGAGCACAGGCTTAGTAATTGCGGCATGTAGGCTTAGCTGCTCCACGGCATGTGGGATCTTCCCAGGCCAGGGATAGAATCTGTGTTTCCTGCAATGGCAAGTGGATTCTTTACCACTAAGCCACCAGGGAAGCCCTGGATTGCCTTTTGACGAGAATCTTCCATGTGCTTCATACATTTGTGGAGATTATTTACTACAGTCTTTTGATTTTCCTGGCTCTAATCTTCCTGGCTCTAATCTACTCGACACAGCAACCAGCACAGTGACCCTGACCTCCTTAAAAACCTGCCACTGGGTTTCTACCCACTAAATGATCAATTCTCCCACATATGAGTTCTCCAAGGCTGCCCTCACCTATTGAGGTACCACTCCTGCCTTGGTCTTCACTTCAGATACACTATCCCTTGCTTTGCCCATGCAGTTCCTATTGCCTCAATCATCCTTTCTCTCCGTATCCCTGTATTCTTTGCCCAGCTTACTGGTACTTGCCCTTGAAGAGTCAGATCAGATCAGACACTATCTCCTTCAGAAAACTTTCCTTGAATCTCCCTTCACTGATACCCTCTCTCCCAGACTGGTTTGTGCCCTCGTCCTCTGGGCTCCCCCAGTCTCCCATGCTTTCTTCTATCAGAACACTGATCATGCTGGGTTGTAATTACTGATTAAATCTCTTATTCTTCTGGACTGTGAGCTCCTAGAAAATATGGACAGTGTTATATTCTCCTCTTCATCTCTAGTACTTGCACAGATTCTGCCTCAGCAGAAAAAATCAAGGGATGTATAAGTGAATTGTTCTAAAACATCTTAGATCCTTTATTTACTAAATTTATACTTGCCAAATGCACTGTAATCTATTACCATTTGTGACTTAGCAAATTTTTTGTGGCAGGCAGGACTTCTGCCTCAGTTTGTTGGAAAAGGAAACTGAGGCTCAATGAATGCAAGTAATCTGCCCAAGATTATAAAGTTACAAGGTCAGAGTTTGAGTAGAACCTGGATCTTCAAACTCCCTTTTTTCCCACCTTTTTATATTTAATGAGGGCTTTCCAGGTGGTGCAGTGGTAAAGAATCCACCTGCCAATGCAGAAGACGTAGGAGTTATAGGTTCGATTCCTGGGTCGGGAAGATCCCCTGGAGTAGGAAGTGGCAACCTACTCCAGTATTCTTGCCTGGAAAATTCCATGGACAGAGGCGTGCCTGGTGGGTTACAGTCCATGGGGTCACAAAGAGTCAGACACAACTGAGTGACTGGGCACATACATACACACTCACACACACACAATATTTAATGAAGCGCCTTTGTCCCTCAGCCCTCCCACACTGAAATTCTGACAGCCTCACAGCCTTTACAATTCAGTCATTAGGACTGATATGTGAAAGCTTGTGTATCTTCATCTTGATGGTTGTATTAACATGACTTGTGAAAATCAAATTGCTGGAATGTGAGGGGTATTTTCTGATGGGTATTTTTATGCAAAATATGTGGTGTCCACACCTTATCTTGTGATTCAGTGTGGGTGAACGGACAGTTCCATGCTTGTTGCCAGCAAACCACCCCGAAGCATTCTAGTCCTGCTTTTCTGCCTTAAGCCCTAGAAGGCAGCTTTGCACTGGACCAGTGTAACCAGGAAATGTTAAAGAGTTCAAGGTCCTAGCCCTCAACCAATGGGGATGGAAACTAAGGTACATGAACCTTGTTCTTAGTGGGACAATGTTGAGGCACATTCTATTAATATCTGGTTCTTCAGAGGGTCTCCAGTGAGATTAAGCCTAGTTTCTACCAAAGCAATTACCTAAATAACACATTTTTTCTTGTTTTTTTCCCCTTCCCTCTTTCACTGTCTATACCTCACTACTATTTCATAGTCTTACCTTCCCCCCAAATTACTAGCACTCAAGCCCTTGCCTAGGCTCTGCTTTTTGGGAACCCAAAAGAAGAAATTACTTAACTATACAAGAACTTCTTTAGAGACAACACTTTACCCTGTGCAGTTTGTACCAGGGCAGTACTGGACTTCTTGCAGTTTCGAACAGTGATTCCCCACCCTCTGTGCCTGGATACGTGCTGCTCCCTGGGCCTGGGCACACTATTCCTCTCCCTTCCCTGGCTTGCAGTTGGTCATTCCTCAAAACTCAGCTAGGGTATCCTCTTCCCTTTGCAGTCTTCACTGATTAGCCACCTCCTCTCCTTCTCCCCAACTTAGATTTCCATCCCTCTGATCCTGCAGCACTTGTAGGACTAGTTCAGTTCAGTTCAGTCGCTCAGTCTTGTCCGACTCTTTGCAACCCCAAACGAGTTAACCTCCATCAAATTCATTATGTCTTTCCCTTCCTTTGTGAGCCTCTGGAGGACTAGGGGCCTACCTTGCAAGGTATTTGGTAAAAATTAAGTGCTCAATAGAACAGGTAAGAATGTGCAGGTGTGAACTTAGGAACCACTTTTCATTCCATAAACATTTAATGCTCTATTATGGAGTGTTCAAAGATAAAGACTTGACCCTAGGCATAAGGGAGCTCACTGTCAAGTGAGGAAAAGAGAAGTAAATAATGCATAAAGCATTGTAAATGTTCAGACACGAATGCACAGGTGACTGTGGGGGACAGAGCAATTCAGCAAAGAATAGGTTCTAGTTTGGTCTTAGAAGGTAGTGACGATTAGCAGAAACGGGTAAGAGCACCCCAGGTTATTCTGAGAGACAGACTAGGCCTCCCAGGTGGCTCAGTGGTAAAGAATCTCCCTGCCAATGCAGGAGACACAGGTTCCATTCCTGAGTCAGGAAGATCCCTGGAGAAGGAAATGGCAACTCATTCCAGTATTCTTGCCTGGGAAATTCCAAGGACAAAGGGGACTGGTGGGCTACTGTCCATGGCATCTCAAGAGTCCACATGATTTACCGACTACAAAAGACTAAACAAGACTAGAGAAAATGAGGAAAGTGAAGACTTTGCTACAGTTGGGGCTAGTGCTGATGTAGAGAGATGAGGAGGCCACCCCGTTAGTACTCCACGTGTTTGGGGTGGGATGGGCACATAATTATTCTCAGGGCATTCCAGTTGAAGATACAAGTTATTCAGCACCTTGATCAGAGCCAGGCACACGGTAGGGAGAAGCGCTGGGAAATTGAGAAATCTGTAAAAACAGCCCATTCAGCTCTTCAGTCAGCACGTGCACCTGCTTGAACAGCATGAGAGCGCGACCCCAGCGAACCAGGTCCCCGGCGTCTCAGCGGCGGCCGAGCATGCTCAGTTGCCAGAACGCGGGCCGGGTTGCATGGAAAAAGCGCGGCGGAGTCCCAGCCCGGCAGAAACCCGGGCAGGGAAGGGGTTCGCTCCGAGGGGGCGGGGCCTCGGACGCACGCTCGCTCCCAGCCCGCCCTCCTCCCGCCACGCGCCACGCGCCGGCCGTCTACACGCCGGCTGCCCGTTGCCCTGGCAACCGTCGCGCAGCGTCTTCCTGAGGGAGCTCCTGTCAGCCCGCGGATCCTATCGCCCGCTCCCCACTGCCCGGCAATTTTCGCGTGGGCTCAGAGGCGGAACGACAACAAAAAATGGCGGAGCGGAGCCAGACGGCGCCTGAGGCAGGTCTGTGGGGGCGGTCGATCAGGGGGAAGAGCTGAGGCAGCACGGCGCTGTCCTGGGCCCTAGGGGACAGGAGACTTGGGCCTGGCGCTACTCCTGAAGAGGCGCCCTCTGTGTTTGCGCGGTGAGGTTATGACCTCGGGGTCAAGGGTCAAGGGAGGAGCACACCCCTTTGAGTGTCGGGCAGAGGCCGCGCTGTCGAGGCGTCGCGGGAGTGTAGGAGAGTGTGTGCACTCTTTGGAGTGAGAAAGGGCTGGGACCCCAGGGAAGACGACTCGCCTCCAGAGGGGTACCTGTGATGAGGGCTGATTGTAGGGGGTAGGCTGCGTCACGGGAGGGCTTGTACACAATCCTGTGGACTATGGGAGGGTCCTCTAAAGGGAGAGGGACTCTACTTCTGAGGAGGCAGGTTAAGTAGGAGGAGTGTTACTTTAGTTTCAGGCAGTGCCATGGAAAGGGATATATGAGTATTTGTGCTTCAGGGAAGTGTAGTGACTGAGGGTCACCCCTGTCACAGAGAAAGTATGCAAGTCCTCATATGAGTCCTTAAGAGGATAAGAGGCTTGAGGGGACACCCAGCTCTTCAAAACCCTACCAAAGGAGGCTGGAGCCTGAGTGTGGGTGTGTATGGGGTCAGTAGTCTTGAAGGTCATTCAGAATCACAGAGGGATGCACATTCACGTGTCTGTGGGTGGAAGCTAGTCTTTAAAATGCAGGGAGACTAACAGGCAAGGAGACCTAAGATTCTGTTTCTGAGGGGACTGCCTTGTAAATTTGGCTGGCTTGAAGAGATAATGACCTAAGCCTTATAGGGTCATAGAAGAAAGGGCTTTTACAGTCCTGTGTATGTGGGAGGGGGTTTGTCCCTAAGAGGGATTGGGAACTGAAGAACTGGAGCATCAAAGTGATAGCTCTGTGTCTGTGTGTGTGTATGTGTGTCTCTCTGTGTGTGTGTATAGAAAAGCAGTGGCTTTGGTGAAAGCCACTGTGTGGTGGTGGGTGATGGAGTGGTATCCATAATTTTGTATGTGTGTCCTGATTGGGTATTTTGGTTACAAGAGTGACCCACTTGAATTATCCAGCCCTTTGGGGGTAGGGGAGGGAGGTCGCAGTTATGGTAAGACCATACAGTGACTGAAACTGGAATCTGTAAGAAGCGATCAAGAATGATTTAAGAGATCATTACCTCTTAAGACCTGCATGGTTTGTCTTTCTTTCATGGCATCTCTGTTCATGCACCAAGTAAGTCCTCTACTTATTTTATAGTTTAAGCTCCCTCAACTTGAACATGTTCATTCCCTTTTTCATACTCCACCCAACACATGTTTGAGTGCCAACTATTCTCTAGGCATCAAATTAAGCACTGAAAACTCCCTGCTTGTAATTCTCTTACCTTATTCTTTTCTTTCCTTCCATAGATTTACTGCCTTCACACATATAATTTAATCTATTTAGTATTTTTATTGCTTACTGCCTCATTCCTCTAGAATGTAGGATCCATGAAGGCAAGAGTCTGTCTTGTGTTTATTAACTCCACATTCCTAGAACCATACCTTGTGTAGTTATTAATAAAATTTTTTTTTTCATTTATTTTTATTAGTTGGAGGCTAATTACTTTACATCATTGCAGTGGTTTTTTAATGAATAAATGACCTGATATTGTCTAGGTGTTCAAGGAGTTTCTCTGAGGAAGTGAACTTTTAGTTGAGATATAATAGAGATTGAATAAATGAAGAGATGGGCAAAGAGTGGTCCAGGCAGAGGGAAACCATGTGCAAATACCCTAAGGTAGGAGGAAGCATGATGTATTATATTTAGGGAACTGAAAGAAGACAAGTGTGGCTACACTTAGGGCAATAGGAAGACAAATGAGGTAAGCTGAAGCAGATCTTGCAGGGCCTTAAAGGCTAGGATAAGAATTTTGGTCAAAAATCCAAAAATGGAGGGAAGGGATTGAGAAATGTTTAAAAGGCAAAATTAATAGGACTTAGTGAAAGATGGGAATGCGGGGGAAGGATGTATCAAAGTGTACTTCTAACTTTTTATTTTGTACAGCTGGATAGTTGGTGATGCCATTATGGAGATAGGGAGTCCTGAAAGGGATCCTGGCTGGGTTTGAGAGGTAAGATCATGTGTTTAGTTTTGGACAAATGGAATCTGAGGTATCTTTGAATTATACAATAAGTGGAGAGATTGGCAAGGCAGTTGAATATACAAGAAAAGTCTGGGGTAGCATGGAGTTAATTAGTGAAACCATGAATGTGGATGAAATTGCCTAAAGGGAGTGTAAAGAGTGTAAAGAGAAGCAGCTTGGGATGAAGTGTAGAGCAGTTACAGTATTTCAGTGCATTCTAAAGAGATAGATTAAAGAGGACAGGCAAAAGAATGTTTGTGGCATGTTCAACAGCTTGAATGCTTCCAGGTGATATAAAAAGGAAGACTGAAGAGCTAGATTTAGAGCATATTTAGCATCATTGTTGTTGTTATTCAGTCACTCAGTCATGTCTGACTCTTTGTGACCCCTTGGGCTGAAGCTTGCCAGGCTTCCCCATCCTTCACCATCTCCCAGAACTTGCTCCAATTCATGTTCATTGAGTCGGTGGTGCCATTCAACCATCTTGTCCTCTGTTGTCCCCTTCTCCTCCTGCCTTCAATCATTCCCAGCATCAGCGTCTTTTCTGAGTTAGCTCTTCTCATCAGATGGCCAAAGTATTAGATTTTCAGCTTCAGCATCAGTCCTTCCAATGAATATTCAGGGTTGATTTCCTTTAGGATTAACTGATTTGATCTCCATGCAGTCCAAGGGACTCTCAAGAATCTTCTCCAACAACACAGTTCAAAAGCAACAATTCTTCGGCACTCGGCCTTTTTTATGGTCCAATTCTCACATCCGTACATGTCCTTGATAAGAGGAAACTGATGAAGGTATGAGCCAAACTAACTTCTAAATCACTGATCACTGGCTCAATCTTTGTTTTTTAAGTCAGATTCCTGAGAGAGAATCTAATTGACACACATTACCTTTTCCCACTAGACCATGTCATAGATCACAAGCCAGTGTAGGACTGATTGTCTTTGAATTGGGTGTCCAGCTATTGCTCTCTGGAGACACCTGGTACAAAATATGTGTATCTGGTGATTTCTCATCTCAAGAGCAGTAGCTGAAATTTATGGAGTGTTTATGTGCAAGACATTGTACTAAGTGCTTTAAATGTTTTAATCTACTTCAACATCATAGCTACACTCTAAGATATTATCTTTATTTAATATGTGAAGACGTTTTGGCACAGAGAAGTTAAACAACTTGCTCAATCTGCAAATAGTTAATGTAAGATTATAGTTCTTTGGCTATTTTTGACATTATCTGGATTCATTACTTGTCCTTCTGTTTATATTGCAACATATTGCATACTGACAAAATAATAGCCATGATGAAAATTCTTTCCCTACAGAAAACATTCCAAGCTAAGCATACATTAACAAAGTGAAGTGGAAAGAACTGGGGCTAAAATCCTTGTATAAATCATGTTTCTGTAACTTATTAGATGTGGACCTCAGATTCAAAACTTCTGAACTTATAAGTTTCCTTCTCTGTAAAATGTGGATGATATTTGCAGTATAGTTGTGTATGGTAGAGATAATATATATGAAGGGTCCAGTAAATGATATTTCCTTAATTCTGCCAAAGTTTGAATAAAAAAGCTCAGATATAATATATATGTGTATATATATATATATATATATATATGTATGTATGTACTTTACATATACAGTGGAATTGAGAAATAGATTTAAGGGACTAGATCTGATAGACAGAGTGCCTGATGAACTATAGACAGAGGTTCCTGACATTGTATAGGAGACAGGGAGCAAGGCCATCCCCAAGAAAAAGAAATGCAAAAAAGCAAAATGGCTGTCTGAGGAGGCCTTACAAATAGCTGTGAAAAAAAGAGAAGCCAAAAGTAAAGGAGAAAAGGAAAGATGTACCCATTTGAAAGCAGAGTTTCAAAGACTAGCAAGGAGAGATTAGAAAGCCTTCCTTAATGATCAGTGCAAAGAAATAGAGGAAGATAATAGAATGGGAAAGACTAGAGATCTTTTCAGGAAAATTAGAGATACCAAGATAACATTTCATGCAAAGATGGGCTCAATAAAGGACAGAAATGGTATGGACCTAACAGAAGCAGAAGAGGTGTCAGGAATACACAGAAGAACTGTACAAGAAAGATCTTCACGACCCAGATGATCACGATGGTGTGATCACTCACCTAGAGCCAGACACCCTGGAATGTGAAGTCAAGTGGGCCTTAGAAAGCATCACTATGAACAAAGCTAGTGGAGGTGATGGAATTCCAGTTGAACTATTTCAAATCCTAAAAGATGATGCTGTGAAAATGCTGCATTCACTATGCCAGCAAATTTGGAAAACGCAGCAGTGGCCACAGGACTGGAAAGGTCAATTTTCATCCCAATCCTTAAGAAAGGCAATGCTAAAGAATGCTCAAAACCGCACAATTGCACTTATCTTACACACTAGCAAAGTAATGCTCAAAATTCTCCAAGCCAGGCTTCAACAGTATGTGAACAGTGAACTTCCAGATGTTCAAGCTGGTTTTAGAAAAGGAAGAGGACCAGAGATCAAATTGCCAACATACGTTGGATCATAGAAAAAGCAAGAGAGTTCCAGAAAAACATCTATTTCTCCTTTATTGACTATGCCAAAGCCTTTGCCTGTGTGGATCACAATAAACTGTGGAAAATTCTTCAAGAGATGGGAATACCAGACCACCTGACCTGCCTCTTGAGAAGTCTGTATGCAGGTCAGGAAGCAACAGTTAGAACTGGACATGGAGCAACAGACTTGTTCCAAATTGGGAAAGGAGTACGTCAATGCTGTACATTGTCACCCTGCTTATTATTCTATGCAGAGTACATCATGACAAACGCTGGGCTGGAGGAAGCACAAGTTGGAATCAAGATTGCTGGGAGAAATATCAGTAACCTCAG